AGGCGGGCCTTCTCTGCTGTAGCCCCCGCCTTTTGGAACATCTTGCCCCCGGAGGTGAGACAGGCCCCCTCACTCCCGGCCCTTCAGAAGGACCTGAAGAACTGGTTCTGCCATCTGGCCTGGGGTGGGGAGGGAGGTCATCAGATATGGGGTTGGCTAGCCCCCTAGAGGTCTAGTGTTGCTTCCGTCGGCCTCCTGGATTTTTCCTTTTCCCTTTATTCTTTGTAAATGTGTCCTTTTATAAATTTTAACTGTATATTTATTTATTGTTTTAATATGTTGTAAGCCGCCTAGAGTCCCCCATTGGGGGGAGATGGGTGGGGACAAGTTTAATAAATAAATAAATAAATATACTCACGGATATGCCCATCCACGGATAAGTTGATTTTTTAATAAAAATACCATGAAAACGTACCACCCACAGATAAGTCGACCTGCATTTTTCATGCTGTTTTGGTTAAAAATTTGCGGATGAGCTTATCCGCAGGTATATATGGGATATATGGGTATTTTATACTTTTTAAAAGTATAAAATACCCATATATACCATATATACTCGCGGATAAACCCATCTGCAGATTAGCTGAACCCAATTTGGGGGGTGTATTTTGGCACCTAAAATTCTCAGCTTATCCACCAGTTTATATGGTAGTCTGTTTTAATATCATTTGTTGAAGGGCAGGTCCAGAAGTTTCCTTCAGTTTGATGCCTGTCAACTTCACTGAGCTTTTGGAGTGGCCATGTTAAAAAATGAGATGGATCTTTGGCCTGATATAGCAGCGCTGCTCCTATATTTGTGCTTCATTTGGACTGGTACAAGTTTGTTTTGGCCATTCATTATCAAACGTTAACATTAACACATTATTTATCCTTCAGATTTATTTATTCATGTTCTCTGTGTGTGTTTCTTTGGTTGTAATTTCCTCCCTTGACCAGGCTTTGCATGACAGAAAGTTTCCTGTTCCAAAACCATATGACTACAACAGACATGCAGTAGTAATGGAACTTGTCAATGGTTACCCACTGTAAGTATCAATACTTGCCTGGCACAGACCTATTAAGGCTCCTTCACTTCCATTGGTGTAAATTGATAAACTGCCAGACACTGCTGTTTGAAAAAAGACGCAAATAGTTCTCTTCAGGACACAGTTCAGAAGCGATTAAGCCAAAATATGTCAGTTCAATTACATGTGAACTGTCTTCATTTACTCTAAAGAATTACTACCATTTTTTATTACTGCTAGTCCTCCAGCTAGATAGTATATTAGGTGTAGGTGGCTCTTTTCCCCATACTTTATGGTACGCTTCTACTAAAAATGTGGAAGTTTGGGAAAACAAAAATTGTGTTTTTTTCTGGCATGTTCTATTTTTTATTTTTTTAAAAATGATACAAAGTACTTTCTTTTAAGATGATATATACTGTAAAATGATTAAGGAAAGTGCTCATACAGTTTACTCAGGCTTTGCTCCCAAAATAATTTCTAAAAAACATAGAAAACTATTACATCACTAATAGGAGTGAGGTAAAGCAATTTATCATATTGGATCTTAAACACTTTATCAGTTCCTATAGATGTAGGATGAGCTAAACAGCAAAACTGTTTCTTCCTCCAGTGAAAGCTGACATTTTCACAAGAAGAGGAAGAACTTGATCCTCCTTTCTGACAGACTTTCATCTTGTTGATTTTTGATAGAAGAAGAGATGGGTCTGTTCCTGTCCTCTTCTCAGCTGCAACATACTGGGAGTAGTCTAGACACTGGCAGCAGGATTTATTTACTTATATTTATGGGGGGAAAAAGACTAAAAGGAGAAGTAATGCCCAGTTCCCCAGCATTCTGTTCTTTAAACTTTTAAATCCCTGCATAGTTCATTAGTTTAAGAGATGGCTGCCAAATGGCTTGACTTGATTGCATCACTGAAAGACCTGAAGGCACAGATGTTCCTGGAGAAGGTCTGCCTAAATGGCTGCTAAGAGTTGACATCAATTTGATGCACATAGTCAATATAACTAAATACTAAAGCATATAATAAAACAAACTTCTTAACAAAGCAGTGAATTATTTCAAGAAGCCCTGTTTAACTTCTCTGAAAGATGTTCAAAGTGAATTGACAGTATACCAAGCATTGTGCTAGTAGTAATTTCCTTTTAGTACTAAGCCATTGGCCTTTTCTTTTTCAAATGATGCTGTCAAAGACATTGTGCCTCCAGCCAATGCCACTATTTTTGTTTATTTTTCTTTTCCATTCATGTTTTATTTAAAGCTGTTTTGCTAGCATGGCTGCCACCACCAGCAGCATAATTTTTTTTGCTATTTTTTTTCTTTTTTTGGTAAAACAGCTAATGCATGCAAGTGTTTAAAAATAAGTATTCCTGCCTGTAGCTTATATGGTATCGAAATTGCTTTAGTTATATCCTATGTTCTCAAACTGTACTGTGACCACTGCTTTGTATATTTATGGGCTTTCATTCAGATGCAAATTGTTTTAATTAGCAGAGTAATATAACTGTAGGAATTAAAGTTGTGTAACGCTTACTCCTAGTTTTATATTGTTGCCTGGAGTTGTCATTTTTTAACAACATACAGTAACTAAAGTTTGCAAACAGAAGCATTACATGCATTTGTATAGTTGACATTAACATCCAATCATTTCTTCATTTTTATTCCTTGATCAAAATTTAATCAGGCACACTTGAGATCAACACAACACAATTATAAAATGACATGATAGGTGTCCAGAGCTAGCTGCCTGATCAGAAAAAGGATAACTTTCCAATTAAAACTTGATTATTGGATTGTAATAAAAAGAACATTCCCTAGCACTTAATAATGTCCCAAACCTAGTTCACATAAGAGATTTCAACATAGTTGAATGATTTGTCTGTATGAGGTTTCAGTATGGATGACCTGATAGCCTGTAATACCAGCAATATAAATCCAGTGTGTAAGAGCTAATTTTAATGAAAATATAAATATCAGCAGGTGATCAGTACTACTTTAAAACTTTCAGGCTTGTTTTTATTTTTTAAAGAAAAATGAAAAGATACATAGGAAAGAAAGGAAACAATAAACGTGCTATTTACAGGAAATAATTTTTAAACACATTAGTAAAACTTGGCCATACAGAAAACCATAGCAGTAGACAGCCAGCTTGTGAACAGAAAGCAAACACTGATGATCACCTAATTTATCACCCTGCCCAGTGCAAGAATCGGCTTCTAATGTTTACCCATCAGATGGCCATGCAGCCTCTATAATACCTCCAGCAAAAGAGAATGTATGATCTCCCAACCTAATCTGTTCTATTACCATTAGGCTTTTTTTTTTTTTTTTTGGTGATACCCAACTGTAATCTCATTCATTAGAACTTAAACCCATCGTTTTTTGTCTGTCTTCTGGAATAACTGAACAATTCTGCTCCATCTTCTGGCAGCCCTTCAGATACTTGAAGGTAGCTATCATGTGTCTCTATATTTATCTGGCTAAAGTTATCTAACACTTCCGAACTTTCCTCTGACACTTTATCATCTTGGTTGCTTTCCTTTGAAAACACCAGCTTGTTAGTGTCCTTCCTAAAAGGCAATACCCAGAAATGGCACAATATTCTAGGTGAGGTCTGACCAATAAGAATAGAGAGGAATAATGACTTCTTTTGATCTTGATGCTTTACTTCTACTAATGTGATCCAGGAATTCCTTTGCTTTTTCTGCATCACACTATAAGTTTATGCTCAGCTTGTGATCCACCAGACATTTAGATCCTTTCTGCATATGCTGCTGCCCAGTATGTTCCTCCCATACTATATTTACATCTTTAATTTTTTGCTTTACATTTGTCTCTGTTGAAATTCATATTGCCTGTTTTTTGCCCATGTTACAGCTTGTCAGAATCTTCCTGAATCTTGTAATTGTCCTCTGAGATGGTTGCTATCTTCCCCTATCTTTGTGTCTGCAAATATAGTTATCATATCTTCTAACCCTTCATCCATATGTTGAACTGTGCAGAGTCCTGAAATATTCCATTCAAGACTTCCCTTCTCCTTTTTTGCTTTTTGTTTTGGAAGGAGGGAGAGGAATATTTTGCACTTCTGTGTTTTCATGTGTTGGAAAAGTTTTGTGAAAGAAAATGGTTGCTACATGCAGGTGTGACTCAATTGTATAAATATTGTATAAATGTGCTACCTTATTTTTCAGGCAATATATTTTCATCCTTTGTTATTATCTGTTAATTCAACTTTTTTTTGTCCTGACTTTGCTGTGATGTGGAGTTTCTGACAGGTGTATGTACATGTGTACCTACACCTACACATACCACACACACACACATAATTACACATACATTTATATTTATTTCTTGCTGGGAGTGGTATAATGTCTAGGATTTATTTCAACCTTGAGTTGACATGGCAGGGAAACTGGGCACTGCATATGATTTTGTCTGAGTTTATAATTTTTTCTGTTTTCTGTTTTCCTTTGTAGTTGTAGTGAGTATTTTTTTCCTCTTCAGGCAATTTCTATTCAGGCTAATGTGGTATTGTTTTCGTCCTGGTTTAGTTTATAACTAAATAGAGCTATCTTGTGTTCTTAATTTTTTATGTAGATGTCAGGTACATCATCTTGAAGACCCTGCCTCCCTATATAATGAGTTAATGGAATTAATTGTAAAACTTGCCAACCATGGCTTGATCCATGGTGATTTTAATGAATTCAATCTCATGTTGGATAATAAAGACCAGGTTACGATGATTGATTTCCCACAGATGGTGTCAACCTCTCACCCCAATGCTGAATGGTGAGTAACTCCTCCGTGTTAACAGTGCGTGGCTCAACAAAGGTGCTTAGGTTTAAATTTCACACTAAACCTTGGATTATTTCAACTAAGCTTTGCTGAACAATGATGGCTTTTTCACACAACACTAAGCCCTAACCGATAGCTTACAAGCCAATAAATTAGAATCATGGTAAACTAAAACCAAAGTCCATTATGCATCAGCCACTATATAAAATAATTTATTCTGAGGAAGTTTAAGTAATTACTCTTTGTAACTTGATATTCTAAAGGTTAATCTGAATTGTTTTGGAGCAGTTTCTGAAAGCTTTTTCTAATTTTATAATACCATCTTGAATTTCTATTTTCATATTTGGGTTTGATGGTTGGTTTTATTGGTCTTATTGTGAAGTTTGTACAATTGATGTTTTAATTAGTTTTTTTAATACTCTAAGTAAGCCACCAAGAGTCTTTTCGATTGTGGCAAGATAGAAATAGGAATCTTTTATTAATATTTTGATTCAGGTATTTTGACAGAGATGTGAAATGTATCCGTGATTTCTTCATGAAGCGCTTCAGCTATGAAAGTGAACTATATCCAACTTTCAAGGATGTTAGGTAAGCTGTATGGTATGTTTAGACATGAATATGTATTTCATTCTTCTGAGTCTTCTTCCATAGTACACATTGAGTTCATAACATACAAGTACTATCATAGTAGTACTTATTTCCCCCGTGGGGATATTTGCCATATTAAAATTTAAGTTCAGGCAGTCCTCACTTAACGATCATTCATTCAGCAACAATTTGAAATTACACTATGCTGAAAAAATGGACTTATGACTGGTGCCCAAAGTTTTAGCCATTGCAGCACCCCCACGGTCATGTGATCAATATTCGGGCGCCTGGCAGCCCACTCACACAACTGCAGGGCCGCTTCAACTCCCCCACCCGCCTATCCCCCCTGATCTCTGCCCTCTTGGTCCCCTGCTGCCCTGTGTTCTGCCGCCCCAGCTGACCTTCGCCATCTTCTTGCTCCAAAAGGCCCCTTTGCAAAAAGCCTCCTTGCAAAAAGCTCTGGGGTGGGGCTGGGCTGAGCTTTTGCTTCGCACTGCAAAGAAAAGAAAAAAAAAAACCAAAGCAGCACCTTAGCAGCAGTGTGCTAAAAGGCCCCTTTGCAAAAAGCTCCTGACTGGGGCCGGGGCTGGGCTGGGTTTTTGTTTTGCTCTGCGGGGGGGGGGGAGGGGGTGTTGTTTTTTTTTTGGTGCGGGGGGGGGGGGGATGCACCCCTTCTTCCCTCCCTCTCCTT